AGAGAGAAAGAGAGGGAGAGAGAAGCCAACCTTTTGCCCTAGTCTTGAGCTCCGACCGACCCTCCATCTCCCTTCAACGACTTTCCTTTGCTGTCGGATCGCAGGCTGCAACATTTTGATCGGAACAACAATGGGTGCTCGCTCGCTGTGAAGTTAGCTTCTTCCCTTTGGCATGCTACTCCGGCTTCACCTTTGCTGCCCAACTTCGCTTAGCACGACGGCATTCCCTTCTTGCCCGATCGCAAGCAAGAACGGCAGCTCTCTGGCCGTGAAGGTAAATCTCCTTTCGGGAGCCTCTCTCGGCCAAGTCCCAATGCCAAACAGCCCTTAGGCTGTTTTAATTTTATTATTATTGTTATTAATTAATCTTTAAAACCCCATGCACGCCTTTATTGCGTGTGGTGGGAGAAAAATAAAATACAACCGCCGCGGTGTCTCACCAACACCAACCGTGCACGTCTTTATTGATGTGGCGGGTAGGCGGCCTCTTGATTTTTCCCCTAAATGGGGGAGATGCCGGGAGGCTGCCGAAATTTGGATCGAAGATCCAAGGACTTGGAACTATGCTCAGAACTCAAATCAAATGACTAAAAAGGGGCTTGAATTTAAATGAGCTATAAAGAAACTACACTTGAGTTTAAACTCAAGTTGGACTTGAATTTGCAACTTAAACCATAACTTGAATAAAGATGAAGGATATGAACTTGAAAGACAATGAAGCTTGAACTGAACTTGATTGATCTTACTTTAAAATTGAACCTGGACTCTACAAGACCACAGGGGACCTTGATTTGAACATGAGCTTGGACAATATAACAAATGACTATACTTATGCTTGGACTCAAGCCAGAACTTGATGTTGAACTTAAAGGAAATATGGATAAAATCAAAAATTATGACATGATGTGATGTTCTTAAAAGATAACACAACTTATTTGCAAAAATGAATATATAAGAGCTCTACCCATCTATGGTCTCTTTTAGTGACAACAAAAGACCTACTACGCATACAACAATTCATTTACAAGAAGCTATAGGAATCTTATGAATATTTGTAGATGATCGTGGAAGACAATGAACCTACAACATTCGAACTATTGCAAGCAAACACACCAAGCTATAGAGGAGCTTTATTGCATATAAAGAGTTACCCACGGATGATAGTAGAAGTGTGTGGTAATATACTCATGACTGAAGTATTGAAGGGCGCACAAACAGATGTGGCATACCACCTTCAAGCAGAACACAACACATCAATGAAATAAATAAGTCTATAAGGCTCATCATGGGAATCTTCCATAAATGCAATATCCAAACTACAAGTGGAAGGGATGACTCATGATGGTTATTAGGAATATGCCACGAATACATTGAAGTCTCTCAAACTCGCCCACAATCAATCATGCAAGCAAATACAGTTCTCTCCCCATAAGTAGAAGGCTTCAATGATGCTGTCAAAGACCTAAATATCATCTACACTAAATGCTACATACAAAAAAAATGTAGAGGAACAGTAGCAAATGCAAAAGCCTACGATCGGTTCTAGAAGACTTATATGTAAAGAGAGCTGACCACGAATAAAGGGACCATGTCTATAACAAATGCAACTCTCCGTACAAACAAAGATAAGAGATTAATTAGTGCACTACGATCCACCTGCAGAAAGCAACGAGTAGTGCACGACAGTCTACCTGTACGAAGCAGCGAACAATACTATTTAGAAGCTGATACTTCACGCCACCGGATCTGCAACATTCGTACAAGCAGACAGAAGGCGTCTATTCCAAGAATACCCCGCACGTGCACAATAGTTTGTATACACATAGGCACACTAAAAGGGGTAAATGTAATTAAATACCCGTATGGACCCTGGCGAGCGTGTTATTGGTACACACGTGACGTCTAGGGATGCTGCGCGGGATGACAAGTGAATTCAGGTTCGAAACCGATCCTTCTATACGGGTAAATAAAAGTCGACAGGGTTAGAACCATTAAGCAAATATAAAGTTGTGGCGACCAGTATATTTGCTTTAAAATATTCATATTAGGCCTTCAAGGCCTACAACAATATGAATTCACTAATAAAGGCACGAAGCCTACGAAACCCGATCCTCAGTCAATAGCTCGGCTGAGTTGACAAGGTTCAAGCTACAAATATAAATGACCCCAAACACCCCGATGATGGCCGCGTTGATTGAAGATCTTAACCGGAGGGGTTGATTTCAGGCATTTTCAAATGCCTCCCAAAAGTCCACACAAAATCAAGACTAAAAGACTCGAGCCTAATTTAGAGTGTTTCATACTGCAAGGTACAAGAATCAAACATAAATTGTTTTTTTTTTTTTTTCATTTTCTTTTATTTCCTTTGAAGTTAAAAGAAATTTGTTAAACACACAGCACATATAATAGCGAGCAAAAAAATTATTCTAAAAATAATAAAAAATATAGATTGATCATTAACTCATCGTGCTGTATATAACATGATCCGTACATTACGATAAGATTTAGGTTAAGAAATTTAAATTTTCTCATCAAATAATGCACCTAAACTTCAAAAATACAACTTCTAAGAGTATGTTAGCTGTGCTTGAACAAGATATTTTTTCCCTTCACAAATACATATTTCGATCTTTGTTTACTCAATTTAGCTTACCATCAGATATATCATGTGGCATACTAGATATAAATTGAAATTTTATTATGATCGAGAACAATTTTTAAGCATTTTTCATAACTTAAACAAGAGTTGGTCAAAAACTTTAGTAATCAATTACTTGATAATCTAAACTTCATTTTCAAGAAATGTATAATCAACATAGCGCAATTTGATAAGATGAAACCAATAGGATTAAAATCAAATGAATTTGAGTTCAAATGAGCATAAATAAGCATAATTTAAAAAATTAAGGAAATTTGAGCAATTAAGTGTCCTCCACATATTGCGTTCATAAACTCAAAAAGAGGATCTCAACAAGAAGAATTTGACAAGTCTATAATCACTTAATTTTGAGTTCATTATGAAATTGAGATGTTCAAAAAGTATAATACTAACAAGGTAAACCTATTTGAATCATATGATGGAATGTCAAGTATTTTTGTAAGACAATGGCTTGAATGCCACCTTTAGAAATCTATATTAGACCATATTCATACACATTTAAAGACTTAGGATGGAAAGAATCCCGAACATAGAGAATTCCAAAGATTTGACTGAAATAATGAACCACAATTAGCTATCATAAGAATTTCTCCTATCCAAACTTCTCTATCTTTCCTAATCGCCTAGTCTTACCTCCAGCTAAGAGGATAGCTGTGTTGACCACCTTTTAACACCTGAGTCTAACACCATAATATTCTGATGTCAATGACCATCATAGTCAATTTATTGATGCTTATTATTGAATATAATCAACAATCATCACTTCCAACCATTCAACAATCTCTATCTCCCATCTATCTTCACCTGTCATTGACTAAACAACCGTCATTGCTCATCCTCTGACGCTTGCCTTCTCAACCACCAACTCTGCCCTCTTATCAAGAAAATCACAAGTCAACCACCAATCACACCCAACTTTTTAGTTCCACAAGAGAATAATGATAGGAAACGCTCAACCACAACAGTGAAAACTACTATTTTCAGAGAAAAACAGCAAAAACAGAGCATAAAAACTCGAGAAAAACAGTAGAAACAGAGAAAAATCTTAGGGAAAACACTTGAATTCACTTGTAGAAGAAGAAATAATAGCAAGATACATTTTTGTCAATCAACCAAAGCCACTTTTCATTCATTTTAGCAAATATGTATTTGCTTGTTGATGATCTCTTAGCCCTTGATATCTTTAGTTATTTGAGTCTTTGATCTAGATCTTATAGTTAGGCCTTCATAAGTAGCTTATATTCTGAAACAAGAATTCTATTTTTCTTGAATTATTAAAAAATAATGTGGAAGATTGAGTATTTTTAATAATGTGGAGATTGAGTATGGAAAAGGGATAGATTTACTGTGATGTAACTAAAGTTAAATAAAATTTGGAGAAATCTGTATAATACTACATGTGTTCTAGTGCATACGTGGAAAAGGACATGTTTCAATTAAAATGAATTGATTCTTAAGTTATAATTTCTGTAAAAACAATGAGATTAAAACATAATGCCTCATTAATTTTACACATCCATTAATATTTCATCAACTCAAATTCCACATACTAGCACTTGCATGTGCTAGCTCCCAAGTTGACGCACCATCAAGCTTACCAATATCAAAACCTTGTCAATGCTTGCACAGAGCCTAGCGACGGAACCAATTTTGTAAGTGTGAACCTAGGGATTGCAAGGAATGTGGAGTAGTGTAAACTGGAATCCCATCACCAATTTTTTTTTAATTTAAGCAATCAGATCGGAGCTTCCCTAATTGACCAATAAATCTATGTATTTCAGGACAGTTTTACCCAAAAGAGCATACTAAATATCAACATCTTAATAAAATTACTAGGGTTTGGCATACGCCATGTAAAATTATTAGGTTTTAATGCAATCTTAAGTAAATTATTAGGGTTGATGTAACCCTACTAATTCATTAGAACCAACTAAAATTATCAGGCCTTGGTAAAATTATTAGGTAAGACCCTGATAAATCTACTAGGTTAGATGCATCCCTCTCAATTCATAGTAACAAGTTGCAACCCTGATAAAATCTACCAGGCTCAAAAAATAATGAGTCCTTATTCATAAAAAAAGTGTACACTTCAGGAATAGTTTATTAAGTTGACAAGTAATATTATCCTTCTTCACAAAGGCGCCAAACTATTGGCTGTTATACAACTTCTCAGAAACATAGCACATCATGTACCATCAAATGGAATGAATGGGAGAACAAGGATTCACAAAGCCCATCATTAATAGTTGGTAAAAGGATAATAATGGTGATGATGAGGATAATTTATTCAGAGGAAAGTCCATATATCATGCCAAACATGAACAAATTGAAGGTAAATTAACCAAATCAATGAGCGTTATTGATTAGCTACCTGATCCATAACATATGCAGTAGCCAAGGAGCGAGAAATCATTACAGCTCTTAGCCTTCTCTCAGATGTGGACTGACCATAACTTCTATCAAATTCCTCTTTGAATCCCAAGGGCTCCCAGGCTTCTGAAACAAAACATTGAAGTAACCCCTAAGCTTTATCCACGTGAAAATGAATTATTTTTGTTTTTCATTACTTTGATCATTACCAAATGTTGCACAATTTGCAACCTTAATTTTAGGTAACTCGGCAACAAGAAAGCCAACAACAAATGGATGTTTCACCAAAGGGAAAACAATAGCTCCAAATTCAGCTACAACCTCCACCTACCCAAACGAGTACGTGTAATCAATACAGACGATACACTTAAAAAATAATTCATATTGGAAATAGAAAGTGTAATAATAACAAGAATATACTTCTTGTCTAGAAATAGCGATCTCGGCTATATGCAAACCTCCCGGTACGGAAAAATTACCAACAACTATTACACACTCTTCATTTTGTGATATCCCCGTTCCAGGATAATAGATGACTCGCCTTAGTTCTAGCTGGTCCATGACATAGCTTCCTGCAGGTCTCACATAAACCTGCAAATTAACATTAACATATACCCAACAAATTATAAGAATTAAAAATTTACAGCCAAAACGTTGTGTAAACAGTCTGACTAGTTTCTTCACAAATTTTGGAATAAAAAACTGAATCATAGAGCACAAGGAACAACAAACAAAAGTTTGATGAACTTGCTTGAGAGCTGAAAAAAACAATACGGAAAAAACATAATTTTGCTCAATAAACTCTATTCTTGTTCTATCTTTTTTTCAAAGTAATTTTTGAAGATTCAGGATACATACTATTGCAAATCAAAATACCTATCAAACGAAGCACGAGTTCTGAGAAATATCGCAAATCTCAAAGCCTTTAAAATACTTAACTGGCTATAAAATATATCTTTAGGTGCCCAACAGACTCCAAACAACATTTTCATGCCATGATTTAAATAACTGCAAAATCTCCAAATCCAAGCACGTTCAGGGAATGAATTGGGCCAAGTTGGACCGGATCAGCCATGCCAAGTCATGGCCTACCCTCCCCATGTCTGTGGAACCCAGCATGGACTCAAAGGCATGCCACACACTCCATGGGAGGCAGCAACCACTATCACCAGCCTATTGGCAAACCACCTGGCATCCCCTCTCAGTGAGCTTGCATGCGATGCCCGCAAATAGGATATTTCCATTTTCAAAGAATTCGATCGAATATATCTGAACTATACCAAATTCCTATGCATCTACAAGTCTCCCTTTCAAGAGCTATTTTTAGTGAGTGATTGCTCTTAATAAGGCGAGAAATTTTAACTCAAAAAGGCTGTCTATTATTGCCATTTTTTTACAACCCAATTTTGATATATGAATATTTGCAGAAATATTCCTGTCAATCCAACCATAGGATTTTTAATCCATCAATTCTATAAGAATCAGGGCATTAAGTTCTACAAAATAATAGATTTGGTTTACTAATGGAAGATTTCATCATTAAATAGTAACAGTAGCACCACAAGCCGTCCAATTAATCTTTGGCCTGAGAAGATAAATCAGGCTATCCTAAATGAAAGATTGCCTACACTACTTTGATCAAGGGGGTGCGATTCAACTAGATCGTTGTCGATAAGAACAAGGAATATTCTGGTATAATATTGAATAAAAACTGGAGTATTCCCTCAAAATCTATAAACAAATCATAATTATCTTTATTTAGGGCATTTTAGACTAAAAGCATTTGAGGTTCTGATCCAACTTGTCAATTAACCAATCTAGTATTCTCAAATCCTCCCTTCACCTTCAAATACAAGTCATATTAGTCCAAGAGAAGGACTATCCTTTGTCTCTTTGTTATTGACTTTGTGTCGAATAGCCCCTGCACATTTTATGAAAAAAAACTATTCTTCCTTCACTATTATATTCAGGTTGTATAATCCTCACTGATTTCAAGAGAACTATTATCTCCATTCATTATTGTCTAAAAATCATACAGTTACCTATCCTTCAAAGAGAGACTATTCTTCCACATTTGTCATTGTCACAAGTAATGTAGTAACCTTAATCCTTGCAAAAGATAGACTATTCTTCCCCGTCTGCCACACACAACCCCCCAGAAGGAACAATTATTAGGTCAGGTGACCTGACGTAGCTCTACGTTCGGACGCCAATAACATGTCGCCACGTGGTCTTACTCAATATCGCGCGGCCCGACGACTTGACCCAGGATTGTTATGTTCGCGTATTACTCGGTATTGCTCTAAGTATTGCTCGGTATTGCTAGGTATTGCTCGGTATTGCTCGGTATTGCTTGGCAATAATGAAAAATATCGCTCTGTGAAGACCAATACCAAGCAATACCGAGAAAAACTTGGTATTTCTCGGTATTAGTCGGTATTGCTCGGTATTGATCTTCACAGAATGGTATTTCTCGTTATTGCTGAGCAAAATCGACCAATACCGAGCAATACCTAGCAACACACGAACATAGCAATCTCGTCTCCGTTCCGGGTCAAGGTTGTCGGGCCGCGCGGTAAATAGTGAGAACAGGTAGCACTATTTTACTGGCGTCCGAACGTAGAGCTACGTCAGGTGATCGGACAAAATAAAAGTTCCCCCAGAAGAGGGAATGTTCTTCTCCCATCTGTCGTTAGCCTTCGGTCATACAATCCAACCTTTTTGGCTAAAGAAAAACCATCATGCCACCCCACTCTTCAATCAGAGGTTAATTCCAAGGGAATATACCGTTAGCTATCCATAGACTACAAATCATTCAATCTGCTTATTTTAGAAGATTGATTACCTTGAACACCCATCATTGCCATCCGCAGTACCACTTTTGGATTCCCTTAGCCGCCACCTCTAGGGAATGACCAAACCAATTGTCTTCAATAGCCTCCACTGACTTCCTAAACCATCTCACTACCACATCATGTTGCATTGTATCAAACACTAGCGAAATGATCATTTTAATTTCTTAAAATCAACTCCATGACCCTCTAGTACTAACTTGGTGAAGCCTTCAAGGCATGTTGCCTTCACTTTGATGAGAAGGCGTTGATATGGCCATCTTCAATGGCCTCCATAACTTTATAATATGCCTCATCACCTCCTCGACATTCAAAAGACAACACATTTAGCCATCTTTAGTGGCCTCCATGCCCTTCCTACACCACTTCATTTGTTGCCCCTACATCATGTCATCTTCACCTCCGAGTGAACTATCTCGATATTCAACCTTCTAGTCTAATCATGTCATCAAATCCGAGGATGCTAGCTACAAATTATTCACCTACTTCGTATTTATGTCTTCTCCAAGTTTGGGTGAGGGTGGTGAAAGTTATCTCGACTAAGCTAATCCATGATTTTTCATTCCCGTGTTTTTCATTTAAAAATTGTGTCACATGCTCATTTTACTTCCTTAATTATATGTGGGTCAGGTTTTAATCCTATCAAGATTTAGATTTACAGGATTTACCATATACCACTTGAGCTAAATACTACTTTGAGCCAAACGGAACAAAAAAGAAACAACTCAAATACTTGAACCAATTATCCGCACAATACAAATAGAGCTTACTAACCGATAGGGCAGCATGTGGATCCACAACGGCTAGGAAGAGTTCGAGCTGCTCCATGCAAAGTCCCTGGAAATCAGAGCTATAAAGGACAAGACAAGTTTTCCCAGTCCTATCCACCCTCTGGGTGAACTCCACTGGGGATGCTGGAGACGAACGACGGATGGCTTCGACCACGGCGGCGGCAGATGAGGGGTAGTTACTACCCTCTGCCGCCGTCGGCGATGCGGAAGCCGGAAGAGAGACGTGGCGGATAAGAGATGAAGAGAGTTTGGAGGGAAAACGCTGGGGAGAGCCGATAGTAGAGTGGCTGGGAACGCGGAGGAGGCAGTTTGGGAAGAATAGGAAGAGGTGGGGTTGGGCGGCGACGGCGGATAGCGGCATAAGGACATCTGATTTGCAGCATCATGGATGACTGGTGTTAACGCTGAAGTATACATACCATTCATTTTGAGCAGAAGAGTTTTAGTTGATTTTTTTTTAACTACATGCCTTTGAATTAATACAAGAGTCAAAATTATCAATTATGAGACTAAAATATCTTTTTTTGTATTTATTTAAAAAAAATTGAAGCATAAATTTAATGTAATTATTATTCAGATATATAAACTCAATAATTCCGTCTACGACCTTTAACAACTAAATTAACTTACTTCAACATCATCTAATTTTATTAAAAATAAGTCAATAATAAAAAATAAATACTTTGATGTGTCTCCCATAAAGATTAAAAATTATAGGTATTTCATCTAATTCCTTAATATTTGTAGCATATTATATTATTTTATTAACTATTAGAAACATAGCACTCCAATTAGTTAGTGCTAATGTAAAAGAAATATCAAGCAAATCCCTCAGGGCGAGGAGGAACAGTCCTCGGTCTTCCTGCTGCTGAACCAACAGGTCTGACAAAGCCCTCAGATCGCTGCTCAGAACGCTGATCAAATCCCATCTGCGGACATTCTGCAATCCTATGTCCCGGCTGACCACATCTGAAACAAAGACCAGCTATCCTGTAGCACTGGCCATGGTGTCGCCGTCCACAACTCTGGCACACAGGTGCCGTACTGACAGATCCAGAACTAGTCGTACTGGTAGCAGTACCAGACGATCCTCCGCTCTTCCTGGAATCTCCAGATCCAGATCCAGGAACAAATCTCCTCTTCCCAGAGGAACCACTGCCAGATGTCTCTCCTCCAAACCTCTTCCTACTCGCAGTCCACCGCTGCTGAGTAGCCGTCATGTCATTCTCAATCAGACGAGCTCGCTCCACAAGCTCAGAGAAATCAGTAATCCGGAACGGTATCAGAGGCTGCCTCAAAGTGTCTCGTAAGCCTCTCAGAAATCTGTAGCACCTCTCAGCAGACGTGCTAACCAGCTGCGGAGCGTACCTGGCTAATGCAGTAAACTCAGCCTCGTACTGCATCACCGTCTTGCTCCCCTGAACAAGTCTCAGAAAACTCTCCTGCATCTGCTGTCGTGCAGAAGGGGGAACAAACCAGTCCCGAAATACTTCGGTGAACTCCTCCCAAGTAATCAAAGAGTTCAATCTGCCCTGAAATCTGGCTGCTTGCTGGCCATCCCACCAGTGCTCAGCCTCACCGTCCAACAGAAAAACAGCTAACGGAACTTTCCTGTCTGCAGGACACTGCATCCCGTCAAAAGTCTTCTCCAATCTCCTCAGCCACTCCTCGGCTGCTCTGGGCTCAACAGCGCCCTCAAACCTCGGAGGCTTCAACCTCAAAAATAACTGCAGGTGTCGATCAATGTCCTCAGATCTAACAGTCGAAGTTCTGCTCTGAGTCTCGCTCATCATCTGAGCAACAAGTGAAGCAAACTGTGAAAGCGTATCAGCACCGACCACTGGGGCTGTACTCCCCACTGGTGCTGCCTGATCGTCACTCTGACCGTCTGTCATGTCTGGGTCTGGCTGATCCATACAGAAAAATCCAGAAAATCCGGAAAACTATCACAAAACAACACAAAATAACACAATAAAAAGCCAAACGACCCAAAACTACCTCCTAGACAGACTCACTGATCACTTCCTAGAGCTCTGTTTTACAATTCAACCTGTTTCCAAAACCAGTGCTCTGATACCACAAAAAGCTTGTCACGACCCGACCCGACGGGGACGGATCCCGCCCGAGCCGGATCGCGACGAGAGACCTTTCTTAACCAGGATCTGGCTTTGGATTAGGTTACTGAACTGATCTTTCAAATTCTTAACTCAACAGAAGCACACAGAACAACAGAGCTACTAAAAACATCAAATGCAGCGGAACAAAACATCTATCTTTTCATTTCCTCAAAATAATCATCTACAGAACAGTACATGGCTTTCGACAGAAAGAAGGACAGAACAGAAAAGCCATGACTGTACAAAAATCAAAAGTACAAAAGTACCTAATCTGATCAGACTCTGAAACCTAGTCCTGAACTTCCTTGCCCTTCCCAGAACCTGAAAACCACCAGAAAGCAAGGGTGAGCTCAACAGCTCAGCAAAGCAACAAACCACCAATCTAAATTCTCAGAAAACAGAACCAAATTCATCGGACAGAAATCAGATCAGAAATCGGAACAGAATTGGAAATCAAAACTTACGGACAGGTATCAAATCACATCAGAGTCGTACAGATCGTATCAGAACAGAACAAATCAACAGAGTCAGAATCAGAAATCAGAATCGTACGGATCATATCATATCATAATCACAATTTCGTACAGAACAGAACAGATACAGAAAATAGTACAGATGCATATAGCTAAATGCCCTGACACTGACGGAATCTCTATGGATTCCGGCCCCTTATGCCTCCCTTCCCAGACACTGACTGAATCTCATAGGATCCAGGCCACTTATGCCTCCCTTTGTGCTCACGGCACCAAAACAGATCAGATCAGATGTGCTTATAGCACCAGAATACATTTATAGTGCATATAGCACCTAAACAGATTGTTTCCTCGGATCCGGAACAGAACAGATATCAGATTTGATCTCATTGCAGATTTCCCGTTTCACTAACTGAATCTCATAGGATTCAGGCCCCTTATAACTCCCTTTTTATAGCTTATACAGATAGCATTTCAATTCAGAAGAAATCCGGACAATTCAGAAATTACTCAAAAATCGGGCAGCACAACGGCAGTATACGGAATTTACACAAAAATTTCTGCAAAGAAAATTTACCGAATTCGCACAGAATACAGGTATCAACATTTCAGAACATTTATTCTACTGCACAGATAAATTCCAATTTCACAGAAAAATCTGGTCGACTAAAAACACAGTCGAATCAAAAATACCCGGACGAAAATCTTCAGAAAATAACCAAAATGTGCACACTCGGCACGTCAACAATATACAGAAAGTTACGCGGTAAAAACTGAGCCAATCAACAGATACGGACAAAAATCATTAACGAAAACGAAATCCGGACAGAATATACCGCCAAACACGACGGTTCTGAAAATTGAGAAAGGCGGAATGTGCCTTACCTCGAGCACAGCAATTTCCTCAACAGCCACTTCGGACGAAAACGGCTCCGCGTCGTCCGAAAATCCGCTTTTCCACTTTTTCCTTTGTTTTTCTCTCTCCTCAACTTTTTCTCTCTCTTCAAAATATCTCATTTCTATATATATCCAGACTGATCGTCCTGGACGATCGAGCTTCGTACCGGACGATCCATGAAGAGAATTATTTCGTCCAGACGAAAATTGAACATCGTCCCCGGCGAAGGGTTCACTGACTTATTTTCGTCCAGACGATCCTGATTTCGTCCAGACGAACCAAACAGCCAAACATGATTTTCTCAGCACAACCTGTACCGATCGTCCCGGACGATCCGACTTCGTCCGGACGAACCTGGAGCAGAAACTGATATTACAAAAAGAGCTCAGAAAGGTATGCCCATAGCATACATCATGATGAAAACCCCAATGCCTCTCAGTTATATACCCATACTCATTCGAGCATAAAGAAATGCAACAAAGTTCAGTAAAAGTTAGCAATTGTAGACAATTCTTCGTCACCATAAAAATGGTAGTAGAAATACATTTGTAGATCCCATAAAACATCTAGCAGAGATAAGGAGAAAGATAATAGCAACCAATACTAAATAACAAGAAGTCCAACCAAATTGACCAACCCAAAGCCCATCCTATAAGTTTATCCTCTCCCAGTACATCCAATGCCATCTTTGATCCTGATGAAGAAGAAGCATCATAGTTTGATTTCAAATAAAATCTAGACTCCCAGAGAGATGCAGATTTATGTGAAATTTTAACTAAGCTATCAGCAATTACATTTTTCCCTTTACCTATATCTTCAATAGGTTTTTTCAGATTAAACAAGCCGCCTTCATTGAATGAGTCAAGAACATTGCACCCATCATAGAATGCTGATCATCGAAAGGACTGCCAGCCGACGGAGGCCAGTGACCTTCCACCGCCTTCGGAGAAACCCTAAAAACACATGAAAAAGATTTTTGAAAAATGCTCTCTCTACATAATCATGGACTTTCTCTCTCTACCCTGAATCCTTCTAATTTTTTCTTAGATGATCATTGTATAGATAAGAATATGCAAGATTTGTTGAAAAATATTTTTTCTAAAGAAAATCTCAAATATGTTGTAATTCAATTGGGAAACAATAAATCTCATGGAATTGATGGTAAGTCTCCCACTTTCTTCAAATTTTATTGGGATACCATCCAAGTTGAAGTTTGGAATGCAATTTCTCTTTTTTTAAAAATGGTGTCATGCTTAGTGGTTGGAAAGATACTTTGGTTATTCTTACACCAAAGGTTGAAAATGCATGTGAACCATCTAAATTTAGTCTTATTAGTCTTTGTCAAACAACATACTAAATTATTGCTAAAATGCTCTTGAATATATTTAAAATGGTAATTCCTCATTTCATCTCAAAAGAACAAGTAGCATATGTTCCAAATAGATCCATATCAGTCATTGTCTACTTGCTCAGGAATTGTTTAATAAATTCATATTTTTAGCTTACAAGAAGGGATTCTTTACTTTGAAAGTAAACACGGAACAAGCTTATGATAATATGAGTTGGGAAACTCTACTTCAAACCATGAAACTTATGAAATTCCCTCTTACTTTTATAAATTGGTTTATGCAATGTGGGTTTAATTGTAGGTTTGCCATTTTGATTAATAATAAAAAATCTGATTGGATTAAAGCTGATAGTGGTTTTAAAAAAGGTTGTCAGTTGTCTCCCTATTTATTCATACTTTGCTCTGACCAAGGATTTTCACCAAAGAGGAAGAAATTTGGGTATCAAGATTTCTCCAAATGCAAAGAAAATATCACATTTATTATATGTTGATGATGTTCTATTTTTTGAAGAAGCCAAAATTCAATCTTTATCTCTGATTAAAAGCATTCTTGCAAATTATTGCTTGTGGATGGGGTTAAAATTACTGAAAGCAAATATGTCCTAATTTGCTCTAAGGCTATGAGTATAAGGAGGAAGAAGGTATTAGATGCAAACTGGCTTTAGACTTGTTAAGGAGTTAATCTACCTTGGTGTGAAGGTTGTTCTTAGAAAATATGTTGCTTCGGATTTTCAATCCATCTTGCATCTTGCACTAGAAAAGCTGAATTCTTGAGGAAGTAGAAATCTTTCTTTAGCTGGAAAGATTGTTTGATCAAATTATATCTTCTATCTTTACCAACCTTCCTTATTTCACATTCATTGGTGACTAAATGAGTACTAGATGATTTGAAAAACTTATGCAGGAATTTTTATGGTATAAAGACATGGTAAGACAAGGGGATGCATTATGTTAAGTGGAGTGATCTTTCTCTTCCTTGCAAGTTGGGAGGGTTTCGTTTTAGATCAACTGCTATGTGGAAAGGTCCTCTTAGAGCTAAAATTTCATGGAATTTCTGTGTACATACTAATTCCTTACTCAACAGGATTATCAAAGCAAAATATGGTGATAATGTTGGAATTTTTCTCCAAAATCATTTTTATTTTGTGGTATGGAAGATCCTGATTGATGGGGCTAAGCATCTAAGATCTATTGTAAGGTGGAAAATCTGTAATGGCATAATTATTTGTGTTCTTTCTGATATAGGGATTATAAATTAATCTTTAAATTTATGGCCCACATTTTATACTCGTGATAATAAGCAGAATCTTCTAGTGGAAGATTTTACTGATGCAAATGGCTGTTGGGAAGCAAATTCTCTTCAAAATTTTTTGGGAATGATTTAGTTGATCTGATTAAGCAAATTCCCATTTATCCTGATTTGAATGATGATAAATTAGAACTACTGTGTCAGTATTCTGGTAAAACAATCATAGTACTTGTAATGGAGTATTATTTTCAAATAGATCTAAAGTTAATAGTTTTAATTAGATTAAGAATCTGAAGTTAAATACAAGAGAAGCTTTATTTTGGTGGAGAGTATTTTTGAAAGGAACTGCAATTTGCATTAAATAGAAAAGACATAATTACAAACTACTCAAAGATAGGCAAACCTATCATATTCCTCCTTTAATAAGAATTTTGGTGGAGAGTTGGAAATAATGCAATACCAACAAATTTGTGGCTGATGCATAAAAATCTTATGGAATATAATCTTTGTCCGTTAGGCTGAAATGAAGAAGAAAATATGTATCATATTAATGTTGGATGTTTGAAACTGAAGGATATAATTGCAGTGATCAACAATTGGGGAATTTCATTACCAGTTTTCAATTCCTTCAATAACATGCTTCAGAAATTCAATTTTATCGTTGTCATAATGTCTGTTAGGTAGAATTTATTATTCAACTGTTTTTCATGCATGAAAAAACAAAAAATATAAGAAACATGGTAAAGTTGTTTTCTCTATATGCCTAATTGCATCTCACGTTCATGCAACTACAATCAGGCCACATTTTGA